TAGGATTGACTACGACGAGTCGGCGCCGGCCACTTGTTCAACCCTTCATTGTATTGGAGTTTGGGTGCAACAGCTGGCACTTTCGCAGTGTCACTCTGGTTCTCTCCGGCACAGAATTTAACACTGATCGAGGATCCAGGACCGTTCAGGCCTTTTGGCAGTTCGGGTTGCTTCGAGCTGACAATGCGGAAGCTCGGCGAAGCCACCGAATTCGTCTACGGGTTGGGCATAAGCTCCCTGCAACCAGCAAATAGAGAGGACTACAATGAAGACACGCCTTTGCGTTTTGTCAGTGTGCAGTTACAGCTCCCGGATTCGAGCAAGACTTTAGATGTTGGTCAGTGCACCATCCGGCTTGCCTTCCTGGCCCATTGGGGACATGCAACGTTCAATGTAGCCTTAAAATTAGTTGCCACACTCGAGACTTAAATGAGGAGCTGTGAACACGGCGGGCCTCCTACGTCCTATGACAATTGGATGGCGCTTTAGCAGCCCCGGGACGGGAAATTTTCTTGTACTGTGGACGATTCATGATGCAGACATCCACGCCTTCCTCTTCGAACACGATGGAACTTACGTGGATTGTGTTTTTTACAAAAACCCCACTTTGGCTGGTAAAAGCGTCCGGCTTCTGCAACAGGAGCAGGAACTACTTGTGGACCTACGGTACATACCGCAGCGGTGTAGCTTCATCGTGTGTACTCTGGCGATATATACCGGCGGCACTGTTGCTCAACTAGCGGATGGCACTGTCCAGGTTAGTACTGCAGACGAGGAGACTCACTTGGGACAGCGAATACATTCATGTCACTTTGTGACCGCGAACTTGGCCGTGGTTGCGCTTGAATTAGTGGCAAAGAGGCAGAGGTTGACGCTGAAGAGTATTTGTTGTAGGAAACATTTGAGGCCGCCACAGTGGAGGTTACAGACATAAGAATGGAGCTTTGCGCTCATACTTATGTCCCGCTGCTAGCTGTATTGTGGCTGGCCTTGCAGCTGAGCGCCCTAGTCCCTCGCGCTGGGCTAGAGGAGGACACGGAATTTCCACACCTTCCTTGTGGCCAGATTCCTCCGAGCTCGTCCGACTTCTATGAGTGGGTGTGCCTAGGAGTGCTCCCGCTGAAACCAAGAAGCAGTGACGGAGAGGAATGCGGCATGATGCTGTGCCTGCTCGCACAGCACGGCAGTTTCTGGTATTTTAAACCGGTTTTGAAGCCCGTCACAGCATTCACACCGCAGGGCCTTATTGAACCAGCACAGGTACAACGTCTTCGACCAATGTTAGAGGGCTATTCACCTTACATGACTTATACGCAGACTGCGTGAAACGAAGTGTTCAGCCAGCAGGCAGGGGCCGCTTGCGTCACGTGTTATTATTGTGGTTCTTTAACTTCAGGATTTCGTCACAAAGCACATCGCAGGACTGAACGACAAGTCCCGTGGGCTAGAGCTTGGCGCTTTGGTCAGGGCTGCTCTTGATGGCACACACGTGGAACTCGACCTGACGGATACAGAGGAGAGCGCAACAGTGAGTCTATTTCTTGCGTTCAAGGAAACACTTCGGAAGCACTGTGTTCCTTGATTTCAGTGCTCAGGCGTTCAGTTCTTCTCGTGCTCGGTAGTTAAAGAAGCAGCATAGAAGGCCAAGGAGTCCGTTTTCTTTGGGGTCTGCTTTGTCTTGCCTTGCATGTGTTCCAAATCTTTAGCAAGGTGCTCTGGCACCAAATTATGAGGAGGATGTTGAAGCTGTCGACTTGGCGGGGAGTCAGCAAGATAGTCAGAAATCTGAAGCCCTCTGGTAAAATGAGCTTTGTAACTTTCTGCAGCAGGCGTTTCGGAAATTTCCCAATGTGGCATTTTCTTTTTTTAGACGCGCCTCACCATGGTTGCCACTGACACGTGAGTTCCTGTATTGGTCATTCGGACGGCTTTCGGCTTCACCTGATGTGAACAACGTGCGACTTTTTTGTTGCAGTGCTACTGATGAAGAAGTGGCGGGAGGTGAGGGTGGCGATGGCGAGCTAGCATGGAGTGGCAGCGAGCAGCAGCATGATGGCTTTGTTTCTGAAGAACAAGCGACTTACCGCACAGGGCGAGGTAGAATGCATGCAGGTGTGGATCCGGGGGAAGCCGCTGGTGAGCAGCAAGCGCCAATATTGAAGGCTCCTAAGGGTTTTCCAAGCGGCAGTGCTTCAGCTGAGAGCAAAAGGAAGGTGGCTCCCCAAAAGCACACAGGCGGCTACATACCTAAAGATGGTGGTGGCACTGGCTTTGGAAATGTTGTGGGACGCCGTGAGCACTCCCGGCACCGTGGTGTAGACCATGGAGAAAAAGACACGAATATGCAAAAGAACGTTCCAGACAGGTTAATTAACAGGGAAGATCTTAGTGATGCGGAAGGGAGCTACCGAAAAGCAGAACGGTCCATTGATAACCAGGTTCGTAGAGGTACTACAGGGAGGGTCACCCGCCCTAACAGGAAGTCAAAGACCAGCGGTCGGTGGCCTCGTAGCAAGTAAGCCGGGGCATAGCCCGCAATTGACGTCACCAACTTTGTCTAGACATGCAGCGGCATCTGGGCAGTGTGAGCGCATTCGCTTCCGGAGTTTGGCGACAGTGTAGCTGCCACGCGCGCGAACGTCGTGCTGAGAAGCCGTTTTATGTGCTCTGCGACCCTTGCAGCGAAGCTCTCAATGGACAACCTTTGTTTACATCGTTCCCTCTCCCAAATGGGTACAGATATGAGCAGTCTGATGAGTCACGCGCAGAGCACATGGCGAATGTAGCTGGTGGGGACGATTCGTGGAAGCATTCTGTCGAAAGGCGCTTAAGTGCATTGGAACACTCCGTAGAGGACATACAAAGTGACATTCAGACCATAGCCGCGGCAGCGTCTGAAATGCAGAAGAACACTAAGGTTTACCTCCAGGAACTCCGCGAGAAGTTTACAGAGCTGAAGGTACGAATCACCCGCAAAGTGGCATCTTGAGGTCATTGTCAACGGATATAGCGCCGTTGGCTGCATAGGATCATAATGCGTGTATTTTCATCACCCCGCATTAGATGTGTATGCGAGGAACTGTTTCTGAATGGCTTGTGTGCCCTGTTCGGCAGCATCTGCAACGTGGGTACCTTTTTGTCTTCAGAGCGACGTAGCTTCAGACCTTGAGTCTGCGCTGTCGGGCCCTCTAAAAGTTCTTAGCACGAGAGTAAATGGCATCACCAGTGTAGGAACTGATGCGGGGCAATTCGCAGAACAAACGAAGAAGCTTTGGGCAGTAGATCGAATGGTGCTTCTTGCTGAAAGGAACTGGCACCTGCTAGCTCAATCCATGTCAGAGGTAAGTAGTGTGTAGATAGGTCTGTGTGCGTACCTTGGACTAGCTAGTACTAGCAGCACAGCTATGGTGCTTATTTTGGGCGTGCGTTGGGAACATTGATCGCAGCTTCGCTTCCAGTTATCGGGACTTGAGCAACGCATTACGCAAGGCGCACGCTCAGCAGATTCCACTGAGCCTCCAACTGACGGCCAGAAGGTTTGGCTAATTAGCAAAACAACAAGTTGTACTTCATAGAAATTTGTGCTTCGTTGGGATTATTTTGAGAGTCCTGAAGTGTAAGCAAAGGCATGCCGCTGCTGTATGGGGTCTTCTGAGGCTGTTCGATTTTGCACTCAGGGGCTTCCTGTATCGCTGCATTCGTGCTCCCCTTCAAGTGCTCCTCGATCACACAATTCAAAACTCACCGAAGCACAGAATTGCACTCCAGAGGGTGAGGTGAGCGTGGCGGGGAGCCAGCGGCAAAGCACATTTGCCTCGAAGGCTCTGAAGGAACTCAGCCACATGCAGATCCACGCGGAAGCATTTGGCGCTTGTTTACGGCAGCTGGCGAGTGGTACCGCCCCCGATGGTTTAAAAGGGCTTGATCCGGTTGAACGCCGAGTTCTTTCTTTTGCGGGGACTCCCAAAGTATTTGCAGCGTTACACGAATTGGAAAGAGCTCTAGATACTGTCAATCTGTGTAGCTCAGGGGTTGCCGGCACGCGGCTTTACTGAGTGCCGCGATAATGCAAGCTTCATCTTGCTTGTACAGACTGCAAGCGCCAACGTGGAGTTGGCGCTTGCCGTCTGTATAAGTTCTCAGCTACGCAGTGGCCGAAAACTCCTAAAGCTGAAGGAGTGCGTGGTTTGCTGCTTGCTATTAATTTTTACAGAATATCATCTCCGAATATGCTGTTGCACACTCACTCAGTAGGATATTTGCTAGTAGGTGAGCCCCGAAACCCTCATTTCAAATAGCAGGAACTGCATAGTTTTTGTTTAACCGTTCTGTTCCATGAGCGTGGACCACGGAAGTTAACCTTGGTGTTAGGGGACAAGGCAAAGATAGAGCCATGGTGTGTTTCTTGTTGGGGTTGCGCTATAATAAGGAGCTCCCCAGATCTGTTTTTTTTGAAATTCATGTTACTCAGCTATAGTCAGTACAAGAAACGTATGATGCTGTTACCTGTTCTGCCCATGGACGTGAGACACTCTGGATGTAAAACAGTCTTCGTTTCAGTCCGCTTGCGTGGGTGAACCTACACTGGATTTCGAGTTCCGCAGTACTAATCTGTTGTCCAACTCGAAGAACAATACGGAAAAGCTTTCTCATCTCCTTGAGAGCTACACACCACCGATGCAGCCGCTGAGGTTGCGACTAAGCCGTATCGGCAGCAACAAAGCTGCGGCTAGGCAACTAGCTATTCTAGTCCCACGAGCTTCTGCTAGTTCGTCTTGGACACCTATATTTAAAAGGTGACGGCGAAGAGGGTACGTTCCCGTGCAGCATTAAGAGTTGGAAAACCTGCACACGGCAAGTATTTAAAAAGTCGACTTTCACGGCGTGACTCAGGCAGGAACACTTTAAAACTGCTGGCAGTTTACACCGTGGGAGTAGCTTCCCCACATTTTGCTTGTGTAGGTAGGCTGATTGGTTCATCCGCATTATTGCGATGGCAATCAATCAACAGACGGCATCTTGGACATCGAGATGCGGTGCTGTGGCGAATTCTTCACACGCTGGCCTGTAGGTACGGTACAAGTATGTTTACTTGACGTAGCGCTTCTGCCCCTACAGATTGCCCGCACGAAAGCCAGTGCCCTCGCAACCACTTTACAGGCGAGTAGAATAATGCCAATGATGATGATACTCACTAGGCCGAGAGCAAGCAAAGATGCAATTAGTATACAGAGGTGACACAAATACATGCGACTTTCCGTGGGGCCCCTCCAGCCTTGACAGGTCCACTGGCCAATACCACCCTGACGCTCTCGCTGTTTCGAAGCAAATGAAGACAGGAGCTTCTCCTTCGCAAGACGCCCTGTGACCGCGTCAAAAGTCCGTGAAAGGATCCATGTCTTCGTCTCCAGCAGTTCCACAAGCATCCAACTGTCGGCTACTGCACGGGCCCCTCGGTTAGTGACAGATATTCCTTCCTCTAGCGGAGAAAGGGAAGCTTTTCCCGCACTTGGCTGACGATAAACTGCGGGTATATCCACAACAGTGCATACCAAATGAAGATCTGCATCGAGATCAGCGAAGGCGCCTGCGTCGGCAGGCTGGCTTGCCACTCCCCGATGAAATAACTCATTTATCTCCTCACGCTGTTGTTGTCGTCGCGGGCTTTGTAGCTGCATGCACGCCCGTCGTAATAGCCCATCACTTGCTGCAGAGAACAGCCCGTGAACGAGCAGCCGATGCATCACTTTGCTCTCCTTCGACGTCAATGAGTGAGAATTCTTTACCGCAAGAAACCGTGTGTGAATGATTTTACGCGGCAGTAATCGCCTTGAAGCTGCTGCACTGGCTAGCCTAGCAGCGCGTAGCTTTGCAGACATGCGTGCTAGCTGATCTGTTGCGGCACTGAGGCGCAGAACTGCAGCATCACCAAAGGGAAGGCTATTTCTATACGCTTTTCGGCGGGAATCCAATTCGAATATCTTGTCCCACAGCCAACGAAAAACTGAATCAACGAGGGACTTCGACTTCGGCACGCTTGGAACAGCACTCCACGGAGTAAGCAGGCTGCATGAATCGAATAACTTATTCCTTGTACGCGTTGAGTTGATGTCCACGCCATCTGACCCCTCATCTTCACAAGCGTGGCTCACGAGCAGCGCTGAGTGGAGCTGTAACAATCGCGAAAACAATATTGCATTATCACCGAGCGCGGACCACGTGTAAGTCTCAAAGTCATGTGACAGATCCATGAGACGCTCCAAAAATGTCGCGCGCTCATAACGCTTCGTTTGCAGCTCATTCACCAGGCGCTTGCGCTGCTCCTTATATTTCTGAAGTTTGTCTTGAAACTTAACCGAAAGGCTCCGGGTCAATTCACGATGCAAGTTTAGTGGCCGTTTCTGCTGCCGCTGATTATGAATGTCACGCAGTGTTTCATTTTTCTCCCTCACACGAAGAAGCTGAACAGTCGACCCAGAGTTGCCTCCCGAGCTCTGTAAAGCATCGTCTTGCTGTGATGCCGCATTTTCGTCCACAGAAGGAAACAAAACAATGTTCAGCGGGTTTTCGATGAATTCAAGCTCCCCGAAATTGCGCTCCGTGTAGAGCAAACGAGGCCCTGAAGCAAAAACTCAGCGGCTTCGGAAAGACCAATGAAGGAAGGAACAAATACCAAACCGTGTTTGTCGTCATCATGTAATTGCATAGAGCTTTGGAGGGAAGTCCAGTACCTGTATTGTCTGAATTGAGAGAAGACGCAAATGGAAGCCCTTCAGTTAGGAAATAGGTAGCTAGTTCTACCATTGCTGGAGTAGCTCGGCACATTGACTCAGGCACGCCATGCCCCAGTCCGCTGCTAGTCATATCAAAGAGATACACACTTGAGTGGTCTTCGCTGAGCCACTCATCCTGCTCCACTTCATCAGGAACAAATGGCGGCGCCGGGAATGCCCCAGAAAAGGCAGGCGCCCGTGGGCGCCTCCATTCTTGCCTCGGAGCAAACACATTTGGCTTCGTTGCAACACGGAAAAGGGCTAACAAGAAAAATGGGAGGTGGCGAGGAATCCACCGGAAGAGAGGTGATTCGGTGTGCAATGGAATACAGCATTGCAATGAAGGATCGCAGCCACTGCTCGTTTTGTGGCCTTCAGCTTGTCCTTGCTTCAGATCCAGCTCATCGCCATCAGAGTCAGCCAGTCGCCGTAGTTGCTGGAGGGGAGTAGGATTCCCAGTTGTAAGATTGTGGAATGCAGTCAAAAAGCTTCTGGCTTCTGGCTCGTTAAGGCACCAGTTTTCGGGGAGGCGCTGGCAATGTACAGCTGAAACAGATGACTCAGGAGATTCGCAACACCCCCCTAACATTCCAAGAATCTGCCTATCGTACTAACTAACAGAAGCCGTACTCTGGCCAGTAAATAAACTAGCACCTATTACAAGCTGCCAATCTTTGAAAGACGTACCTGCAAACTCCGCATAGTGCGTGTCCCCTGAGAGGATAATCGGTGTTTTAGCAGCAGAGCCTGCTAGAAGCGCAAAAAGCCGCTCTCGAGCCCATGGGAAGTGACTCCAGGTCTCTGTTACTAATCTTACGCATGCATACACAGACAGAATGGGGTGTTTGGATGCCCACGTGTTTGTGTCTGCCAGTCCGCAAAGAAGTTCGGCAAGGAAATGCTCCAGAAAAATCAGTGGATAACCACTTTAAGCACACAAGGCCAAAGCAAGAAACCCGACAGTTCCACTTCAGTTAAGCTAATACAAGCACGCAAAATTGGTAGGGCTTGCGAACAAAATCGCCCAAAACTGCCCGAAGGGCAAACCCGCGAATTACGCGGTGCACGTAGAGCAGGAGTATGCCTACAGACAAGCTGTTTCTATTCAGAAACTAGGCATTTTATTTTTCTTGCCTGTGATTAGCAAACGTCTGCAGGGATGAGACAATTACATTGACATCTGCCGTCGACATTTGAAGTTCCTGCTGTAGCCACGCCCACTGCTGCTCTCCAAGCATGTCACCGAGATCCATGAGCCACCAGCTATCTTTTTCAAAGCTGTACATTTTCATACATCGCAAGACTTCATGTGCGGCTTTAACATGCCTCATAGGGCAACAGAGATTTACAGCGCAAAATGTGCCTGCAGTGCCCTTGTCATCTAAAACTTCTGCCCACACTGGTGGACGTACCGCAGGTCAAGAAAAATCAATTTAACAGTCAAATCTTCCCCCAGGTAGATTTGGTGAGATGAGTACACGCCTCTCCATTCTAGCGAGCGAATGGCCTCAGATCTGCTTACGCCCAAGAAGTCGAGCATGGCTTCCTTCGATTCTACAGCACAAAAGGAGATATAACTCAACCGCAACCCGAATTCTGTAGTTGAAGGACACTGCTTTTAGGACCTGCGGAGACCTGTGGCTGAGTACAGGTTAGGTCACCGTGCAAAAGAGATTGACTACGCACTGGATGCACACCATATTTGAAAGAGTACATCTTGTTGGCATTGTCTTCACCCATATCATGGTCATCCCAAGTCCCTACAACAGCAGGTACTCTCTTCAAGAATTCCTAAGAATGACACGTAGGCAGTAACATAAAACAAACAACTGGAGATAAGAAAGTCGACGTTCAGTTAGAACAGTGCCAGTAGCCCCAAATCAGTAACGCCCGGGAAAATCTGCACATTTCTTTCGTCTGACCCTATATTCGTTATTGGCAAGTTGACTATTGTATGCTGCGATGAGGCCTGGTGGCGGGATTGGTTTCTTCCCCTCCGAAAGCTTCCACAAAAAATTCCTCGAATCTTTTGCAGTTGGAAGCTGCATGTGATCCGCTGCAGACATCGTTCGTAAAGGACATACGAATCAATAAGTCGGAAATTTATAGAGTGTTTGGAATGAGCAGTGCACGGATCGTCTCATTGGTAGCTGGTCTTCATTAGAACACCAAAACAGGGCATTGTTACCATATACATTGTCCCCCATCCAAAGAAAAGCCCGAGGCTTTCGGCGGCTGATGTATTTCCAGACACGCCGCCCTTCCAAATCATGCTCCTCATCCAGCCCTGAGTGACGCGACACCAACATCTTCGGTGCAAAGCATCTTCGCCCAGAACGCACAGTTCCTAATCCTGTTTGCATTTTCCGCTTCTGGCGTACCTTCTGGTTGTCTATTGCACGAAGCAAATATAAGCCGGTGCGGTTCCCGTGGGTGGTGACCTAAGTCGTGTGGGGGAAAAGACGATACGCGAAAGGACTCAAAAGGCTTCCAGAATGCAGGGGATGGGTTGAAAATGTAGCTCTGGTCCCATTTTTCTTCCCCCTCAAAAGTTGCGGGGGCCCGATATGCTCCTGCTGCCAATTTAGAAGAGCCCTCTTGAGACAACGCCTCTGGTACGTCCTTGCTCAACACGACACCCCCATTGAACAGGATTAGCAATGATAAGCGACAAACGAAACGCACAGCTAAAACACCTCCTGTTGAGCCTCCCCATGTTGCCTTCACATTCGACAAATGAACGGGACCGTAAAGATTTCGAGACTTCATCGCCTCTGCAGCGTTGTTCGCATTCACCAACCAGAAACTTGGGCACTACTTCACCAGACATCCAGCTACGCCAAAGCGCTCATGTCCAGGTAACCTCCCAGCTACCGCTCTTGTTTTCTCGGCGAATGGAGGAGGAAGCAGCCGGCCTGGAGGCCGGTGAATATTATGGAGATACAGCGACCAAGACTGCGGTCATTTCCATGTTCAACCGTCAGCAGCTATCAGCGATTCTGGTGACACGGAGGAGCTGGCAATGAAAACGCTCGTCATAGAAAGGCTCTCTGAAGGACCACCACTGTGATTTTATAGCAAAACACACTCGCTAACAAGTGGCCAATCCTCACCACATACCTCACCCTCCGTCACCGAGGAAAGCCACCGTGCTTCATGAACCACACAATACTGTGCACAGTGGTACGGCAATGTCTTAATGGAGTGCATCCAAAGCTCTGATTAGACATGAAGAAGTTTCCTGCAGCCCAGGTCAGCAGCCCGCCAGCCCCAACTGAGCCCGATGTAGCCATGGTATTGCAATGAAGGGATCAATGTTCCCATCGAGAACAGGGGCACCAACGCGGTTTATCTAGACACAATCATCTGTCCGGGCTCCTTGTAAGTATCCAAAATCACGAGGATGGGAAGTATACACAGGTGATTTGTCGGAAGCCGTCGTGGAGCTTACGAGAGCCGTCAGCCGAGGGTCTTCATCATCTGTCATAATGCCGAAGTGGCGTTTATTTCCTCAATTACATTTTCTTTCTCACGTGAAGGAAATTCGCTTGCGGTTATACCCAGGCCGGACTGCGTCTGAAGGATGTCGACAGCTCGGTTGCATGCTGCGTAGCGACAAGATCCGGAGGAATTTCCCGAGCCTGAAGTCACGAGTTGAGTTCTTAGGGTAGGCTGCTTAAAGTTGATGGCGTTTGGGTTGGGATGAGTAACAGCACTCTCTGGTCATCGATGCCACTTTGCGAGTGGGAGCATTCAACCCAGAAGATTGCAATAGCAACATCACACTGGAGAAAACTGCAACGTGCATTCGCCCTCCGCAGGTACGATGCGCCGTCTGAAGTCCATCTGGAGCTAAATAACGGAAAGAAATTTAGGTGAGGGAGTTGGACGAGGTAGTTGGATGGTCACCCCTTCCGAATAACTGACTGCTCAGGCTTTGGAAGGGCAGCGTGTCGCTGCTCCCTCCACTGATACTGGTGGAGCTCGCCTCATTTTAGTCCTATTGGGCGATTCTGTGCAATGCTGTGTATGCTGAAGACTACTCGCCGACGGCTTTTCCCTTCAAGAGCTGCACATGCGCATAGACCGTGAACAGTATCAGCGTAAGCCAAGCCCGTATTCTTATGCAACTATCTTCATACGAGTCTGAGTAGCTTCTCCTGTCGTGCATTCCCTCGATTTGATGAATTGCACTTCTCTGCAGTACATGTGGAGCACATCAAGGAGCACGCTGCAGACGCCGTAGCTGATGAAGATGGGTAAGACGTGGCGCTGACGCCAGAAGAGCAATAGTGCGTCAAGATATCTTCTAATCCAGGCAAGCCAAAGGGCCCACAAGAGCGGGTGCTACCTGGTAGCCACCATTATCAGTTTCAAAGGATACGCACCCATCCACGGCTTACTGCACGAGGCCTTGTCACTATCCCGGTCCACCGTGAAGTGAACTGTCGAAACTGTCGCAACTGTTAATACGTAGCGGCGTTGCCCCGACGTACGGGTCCGTCTCTAAGCGTCATGTTGAATGGTTTCCTCTACAAAGCTGAAGCTCATTGGTCCGTTTCTAAGCGTCATGTTGAATGATTCCCTCTACAAAGCCGAAGCTCGTTGACCACGCGCACCCATTGCTTTCAGCGCGAACAAAAGGACTACATCAATTCTCCCTTGAGTCGCAATTTCCTCGTCTACTGGCGGCCAACAAGGCCCAATTTTAGCACTCAAGTGGCAGACTAGCACCTCAACTGTTCGTAAAATAAATTTGGCTCGTGTTTCCTTGTACAAATGAGCTGATGCTCACAGTGTGATAGACATGCTCCGTGCTAGCGTGCGTTTCTAAGTGTCCCGCATCAACACGCGCGACAGCAGGCTGCCTGATTCACGCCCAGCCGAAGTCCGATCACCTTCACAATTGAAGGTCAAACGGCAACAGGGAAAAGGCCAATCAGTATTTCTGCGGCACTTCGGATGCTTGCTAGCACCATGTCCGCGCGAGGCACGGCAAAAGGCTTTCCCCAGCCCAAGTTCGCGAAATTATCGGTTACTTATGGTTGGCACTGCCCCTGAGTCGCAAGTTCCTCCGTCTTCTTGTTGCATCCTTCTCTGTACCCACATTAACGCTTCGCGCCTCCCTTCATAGAGGTCGTTCACATCAAGAAACATGCCACTCCCATTCAAGTCATGAAGGTTTTCGTCGTGCAGCTACTTCTGCGTTTCTTCACTGCTCTGAGGCAGCTCTGGTTTCCCGCTGGCCAAAACTTATTCTTTGGCAGCCGCGTCAGCAGCTGGAGTCTCACTTTTCACGGACAAGAATGGATGAGTCAACAAGTACTTCTCCGGCAACCAGTTCGAACCTCGTTCCTGCAAGCATTTAACAACTGCACACTGACAACCTGGAGTCAGTGGCCAGCTAAGTGCGGGATGGCGAGCATGCGAAGCTGACCACGTGGAAAGGCCAAGAGTGGTGAGATGCTCACTTTTCGCCTTCTGTCTAAATAGCGGGTCATCGGATTGCTGTTCTCTGCTCTTTCTCTCTCCTTGTTTGCAAGCATCCATTCCAACGTGAAGCGCTTTGGCCGAATACCTGCCACCGCGGAGCGCAGGTGTGTAGCATCTAAGTGTTTTGCAACGCGTCTTCCTCGTATGATGCATCGTCTCCAGCAAAGTGAAATTTGGCGACATGGCATACTTTGAACGTACCAACGAGGGAGAAAGTTGTTATCATGAAGGCGACAGTTAGGGAAAATAGTAGTAGCGGCACAGACGCCACTATCATGTTATGCTGCAGCAGCCATGCACTGCAGAAAAGAAGAGAACAGACAGGACTTTTCCCTAGAGGGCCGAAGGCTACTGAATGACAGGAAGGGTTGTGTGCACACGCTACGAGCTATAGCAAAACCCTTGAAAATACGTGAGCCTGGCTGTATTGTTGGACGTACTAATGCGCGGGACTATCCCTTGCGAACTGCCCCTTGTACACTGTGTGAAAGACGCCAACTGGGGCCAAATACCACCGCTGCCAGTCATACTTGTGGTTGTACGTGGTCTGAGTAAGGCGATACACTTTGGGGCTGCCATCTGGCTCGAACTCTCGCGGGGGAGGGGAAGGAATGTGCAAATGAGGGCTGTGAGTGGCAATAAATCGAATATCAGAGATGGCAAATGGGGAGAAGCTGCATTTGCCAAGTCTGGCGGCTGCACTGTTCAAGGGCAGTGCCGCAGGTTGTGCGCATGCGCGACCAAGAAGGCAGGGCAACATTGCGAAGGCTCGCAAAAATGTCCTTATTTAATACAGGAAATACATCTATGATTGTTATTTTACTTGCGCAAAGATGAGCTTTCGCAGCATGCAGGTGGGACTGTTGCTGGCTGCTGAAGAGCGGAACAATGGCGAGCGCATTCACGTCAATTCAAATAGCGTGGAGTGGTAGCCTACCTGTACGGAGCCAAACTGGAGACACTCCTCACAGCATTTTCCAACTTATAGAAATACAAGTTTTCACTCACATGGTGGAAGTATCACTGGCGTTTTTTATGTAACAGTGCCGAAACGGAGTGCCACAACTCTTTAGGAGCGCACAAACGCAGAAACAGTAACTGACGATGATGGAAGTGGAGCCTCTGGTGTAACAATTTTATTTTTATAAGTATAGTGCAAATGTTTGCAATGTTCAGAGAGACTGTCACGGGGAAGGTATCCAGATACTACAATATATTGTTCCAGAGTCGTGGGATTCCTGCTCTGTTTTGCCTTCCATGGCCTCCAAAAGGGTTTAGCAGAGTTCAATATCTACATTCTTTGAACTAAGCGGATTTCCTGGAACTGTTCTTTTGCTCAAGCTAATTATGCGTTTGCTACAGCACGTAGTTCACCAGCTTCAGGAGGCCTTTACTAAACTCGCGATGCTGCTGGGGGGAGTATTGATTCAGAATTGCCCGGCAAAGGCCACCTGGGTGCATCTTCCTAGGAAATTCATCACTCTCTTGACATAGTATCTCCTTCTCATTCCGCACGGCCTGCAAGTCCGGAAAGGCCCTTATTTATGCGTCTTACGAAAGAGTAACATGGGGACCAAAGGCGCATGTGGCTCAAACGGGCGGACTACTGTAAATGCCACAAAACGAGAAGCGCCCAAAACCATCCGCTTCCTTATCCAGAGACCAGTCATAGCCTCAGGCTGTCTCCCCTGACCTCATGCTGTATACATGTAAATGTAAGCATATGTTTATTTAGTCCTCGCGTGATCAGGATCGAGGGAGACAAAGGAGATGCCGTACTGCGCTGTTCCTACTGCGCTGTCTTCTAGGGTATTGTCCCGCGAAAAAAACGCTCTAGGAGCGACGGTAGGAGGCACTCCGAGAAGACGTCATTCTGGCTGTGTGAATGAACCTGAAACAAAGCACCGCTGACGGGGCAATGAACCGTTTTCGGTCGATGAGCTAACACACGTCCCTCATCGGGAAGCGCAGGAGGAAGCAGAAGGGGCAATGCTACGAAACGCGACAGCGACAATCCAAGGACGCGCACGCCTTCAAAACAGCGGAATGACACAAACGTCATGGGAATGCCGGCTCGAGGAGGGACAGAAAGCCCTCCCCAGGGTCCACGAATATGAGGTGAAGTACAACTACAACTACGAAGAGCAAACAGTTGAGAGCAGCCGAGTAAAAGCTTCAAATGCGCAGCATAAAGTGTATTCAGTGCTTAGCAGACTGGATGCCTACAAAGACCCAAGCTTTCCACAGAGGCAAGATTCCACGAAGCCCCCACAAGATTCCCGTGCATACACTTGAGTCCCAGCTTCCAAGGAGTAACAGCGCACGAATTTGGAGAACGTTCCAATGAGAAGCCCGTCGAACTAGATGATCAGCTGAAACTAAAAACCGTGCACGATTTAACAAAAGCGCTTTATTCGGAAGCTAAACGCCGGGAGAGTCGGGGATTTCAGAACAGGAAACGAGAACCGGCCAAGGGAACTTCTCTATTGTTCATGTGCCGAAAACTCCCTTTACTAATAAGTAATTTCCAATATGCCGCGTCGACGTCTGAACAACGGAGACAAGTCACTGGAAGATATGTATCTGGCTAGCAGCTGGGCCACCGCCCTCGTTGTGCAGCCGCATGTCACCTTCCCCTATAAAATACCATCATATCTTTACCATGTTTGTGGTTGTTCTACTCAGGGGCTTTCAATGTTTGCCCTGCCTACCTGTTTTACGGGTGCTTCGGACGAGGCCTGTTCCGGTGTTCAATGATACACCTCCCATGAAGGCGCATATCCCACATCGATGGCACAGATCTTCTTTTGGTCGGAGGATGCGTTGAGTGTGTTCTACTCACTATGTGTGTGAGGAAAGCGGGAGCTCACACCTCCCAGCAAATGTCCCAAGCCGTAGTGCTCCAAGCACTGCTTAATTTCTACGTAGCTTTACCAGGCTGCCTGGTCACCTGCTGGAAAGTGGGGCAGCTTCGAATAACCTCTCCTTTGCACCTCCTATGCTCCACTTGCCCCGTGACTCCTTTAGTTTCGCTGCTTATCAACGCCTCTAAAGCTGCTCGTACCAGTTCTGAAGGCTACATCATAGTCGCTGTCCACTCCAACAACCTGGCGTGGCTGCAAAACGTCTAAGGGTCCCTCCAACCCACGGTTGTTGGGGCTTCTTGCTGACGCCATAGCCACTTCGTATTCTACATATATTGGTTCCGATCTACGCAGCCTCTCAAGGTAGCTTCCTGTCTCCACTGTACTGCTCACCCTGATCATTCCTGCCCTCCGTCAACGAGCTGGGATATAGAAGGCACACTACTCAACTGGTGGAGGACGCGCTACAGCGAAAACACTTTACGGTAATAGAGTGGCGCTGCGTCGAGCACACAGCGCCAGCGGAGGACTAGGTGGCTTGACTCTCGCTATTTAAACGGCTCGGACAAGAGAACCCAACATCCTGATTACCTTGAAACCCCCTTCGGGATCCAAAATGACCAAAATGAACTCACTTTGCGGGCTACGGTTGGTCAGGCCATTCCGACATGAACCGAGTGCATGAGGCAGGACTCAGTGCAACCACGCAGACATCTGATACGAAGCCCCTCCTGGGCTGGTGCTGCGACCGCTGTAGCCACAACTGCACGTCCATTTGTACACGAACAACGCCCAAATATTGCACGGAAAGAGTCCACGCTGTTTCTTAGTGTATGCTCAGGACCTACGCTTCGCTGCAACTGGTGCCTTGTGGGGAAGTACAGCCTCAGAGTCTCTTTGTCGCGCTGATCATCGAGTGCCATCATTCGTCTTCTCACTGTCCCCTAATGGGCAACAGCTGAAAAAAGGCGTAACCACGCTACTCTCTGCTAGGCGCACTCCGCTTTTCTCTAGCCCTACCAGTGGTGTACCTGTATGGAATCTAGAGGCCCGCTACGCGGTGACTGGCACGATGACGCCCTGCAGTTAAAAACGAGAAGGCCTCGGTAGTCCATGGAAAGCAGCACGAGCAGTGCGCACCTCACTATTTACGTGTGTAAACATTTTTACACATTGAAGAAAACAGATATCAGGACGAGCATCTCGCCTCCACAAGATGGCCCTTCGTGCGTGCCTCCAATCATGCTTTTACTCCAGCTCTTCACAGCCCGTGGCAGTAGCCGCAGTTCTTCGTTCATCTAAGTGAGTAACACTGCACTGTTCAGTGAATGCCTAGGCACTCGTCACTACCATTCAGTCTCCCTGATAATTCTTAAGACCCTACACTAGACCACACGCGTTTTAACTAGTACGGGCCTGCTATAGCCGCAAGCCCAGAAGCATCTATGCACAACCAAATCACCACCCCAAACAACGCGTTACGTTTGGTGTCACCATTACCGGCACTAGCCAACCCAGTCACCTGGAAAAGTAACGTGACCGACCTTAAAAAACTCTGAGTACTGTGCAGTTCCGCAGCATGAACACAAGATCATCAATATATCGCCAAAAAGTCCCAGACGCCTACACAGAGGTGTTGTACTGCCAAAGGGCCTGGTGAAGCACCATCCCTCAGACGAGCCAGAAGTCCCTATTCCACTTTGATCGTTCCCGACATGCAGAACAGCGAGGCAGCACATTCAGTCATGAGCCTACTCTACAACTCCAGCGATTTTGTTGCCCTGGCCGCTGTGGTTGATGAAAATCTCAATGCAACGCAGTCAGCAACCGCTTAAGGTGCGACGGTCCACGCATATATAGTGATTATCAACTGTAATTCCACAGCAAGTAAACGCTGCTGCCTCACCAAAGAATGCAACAAAAGCCGCCTTAACACAACAGCGAGACTACTGGCGCATCGCCATCACTTTTCGAGCACGAATCCTTAAAGACACATCTATGTCTGTGCTGTTCGCCTACCTCTGCAACTAGAGCTTTGAGGATAGTCAGTGCGCACAGCTTACAATACGGGACAGCCGTCACTGCGGCCAAAATCTGAATACAGGCTAATCACGATCATTTGACCGGCCACGCCGACGATCACGATCCCTGTCCCGGCCTGTACCCTCGCACGACAAACTGTAATACAGTAGATCAGTGCACAGCGCGGGCTCTACTACTGATACTAGCTGGAGCAGCAACGTCTAGACGGGAAAACGAGTCCTTAAAAAGCTGGCAGACGCCCCACCTCGGCTTGGTGATCGAACGGGGGAGCGCGACACACTCCGGGACTCGCTGCGCCTTCGGCCCCTACGCCTCTCGTGCCTGTCGCTCCTAGTGCGGCGGCTTCTGCCACCCGAGCGGCTGCGACTTCTGCTGCGCTCGTGCGATGCTGAAGAGGTGAGCAATTAACAGGACATGCAATGGGCAAATTAGTTCAAAACAGTCGCTATTGTCCCTACCACTGTTGATAAGGAAACTGTACAGTAGGCGTTCTAACGCCGCAATTTCTCTATACGTTGACTTGCAACCTCCCACTCAAAACTGGATGCTTCCCTAATGCCAAAGTTTCCACACTCTTTGTGCGCTGCGTGACATTGGGTCGTTTGCTGACCTGCACGGCCGCGAGCTGCAGGCGCATCGTCATTATCCCATCCCCTCATGCCACCTCCAGTGTCTGGAATTGTATCGTCTGCAAGAAATGAATGCGAAAAACTGGACCAGTGAGGTTCACTGAGCACGCACACGATGCTACCGAAGCAAGCGCAACCACTGCAGTCCGCAGCAATTTAGCTGCCTGTAAGACGTGTCGCAGGTCGGCAAAGAAACTCACATGCTACAAGAGTTGGAGGTTTCGGTGGAGCGGTACCCGTTGCAAACTGTTTGATCTGTTTGTTGAACTCTGTGGCCATCATTTGTTCATGTCTACGCACCAACTCTTCGTTGATGCGTGCAGCCTGCAAAAAAAGAAGTGTTAAGGCCGAACTGCACAATGTGAGAGGTAATGGCAAGCCCACAAATAAAAACTGGATAATTCTCTCAAGCTTCGGTGCACCACGGTTACTCCGCTCACTTCCTCTCTCTTCCTCTCCATTTCCAGCCTCCTGTTCTCTAGGAATTCAGGTGGAATCCCCGTAGGAGTATTCTGCGCAAAAGACGCCCGACATTCTGCACCTACGCTACATCGCAAGCATTTCCTAACACTTCCAGAGGTCCGTTCAGCACATCAAAATCTTCCTCCAGAATACACCAGCAACTAGTTTGTCGCCGCGACAAATGGCCTGCGCAAGTACTAGACGGAACCTCAAAAAAGTGCCAGAAGATTCACGCGAATGCTTTAATGATGCACGCAAGCATGAGCTAATCGACAGAGCGAGGCATGCCTACCTGGGCGCTCAAAAGCAGTTTCCACAATTCGCGGACAAAGTGAGTTGCTTGTTTGCCAACGAACCCAGTAAGGGATATAGCAAGCTTCTTCGGGCAAAGGTAATTCTTCCCTGAACAGGACCACAATCACCTCGAACAAGCACACTTGCATAAACTACGGCCAGCCACAAAAGTCAACAACGATGGGCAACTATCTGGATTTGTCAGCCGATATGAACCGGCCACACTAATCGGCTGCGCTCAGAAAGAAATCCAATTTACTTTCATCGACATCCGCAGCGAGAGCCTCTTCCGGCACTAGCTGTGACAGGCAGTAGGATATGACGATATCATCTTCGAAACCTACGTCATTGCAGAAGACACAAAAGCATCGTAAAAAAAAGTCTTTCAGCCGCTTTGGGTACGGGTCGTAGAAAAAATACTGCATCTTCGTGCCTTGAAGACCTACCCAACAATTCGGTGATCTTGTGGTTGATCCACGCTTTCATCACTTCCACATTCACCTTGCTCATGTCAACCTCTTGATCAAATATGGCTGGCCACTGCAAACACGAGACTCCAGCAAGTGCACAATGTAATTTTTCTCTTCCGAGAAAAATGGAGTGCTACGCTGTACTGCCCGCCACATGCCGGCATCGAGCTGCTGGATGAGAAAAGCAGGAATTGCTACCAATCCTCCGCAACCCCACTAAGACTCACTTTTCGCTGAGCTATGAGTTGACTGTCCTTATCTTTAAAGAACGGTGTTTGCTCTTTGGTTGTTCCTTTGTAGAAGTTCCCCGACATTTCCGATTCACGGATAATCACAGCACAAGAAAAGGCGGCAACAGTGCCAAGCAGCTAGCTTACTGCCCCCTCCGCTGAAGCAGGAGCGCTTCAGTGAATACTACAGTGTTGCAGTCAACTTGAGGGGTTGTGGTTTGCATGCAACCCCGGAGCGGGTCCCTCAGCTGTATTGGGCAGACGTCCAAAGCATCGGTATTCTTCGTCGTTAAAAGATTAAGGCTATAGCAAGAAGCTTAGTGCCTGCGTTCTTTGCAGATCGTAGTCCGTGTCAATTCGTGCGCGTCGTGACCGAGTGATCGGCGTCCTGGCAATCCGCTGCAAGCCCGCAGGACATGAATAGTCTTCAGCTCCTCTTCATTTCAGCCCCTTATCTGGCTGTGCACTCTGGCAGGAAAGAAGGAGCTACCTCGGCATGAGTCAAAAGAGCAGATGAATTGCTTGTGTCAGCCAGGCCAGGAGAAGTGCCAAATGCGTGAACGTCTTTCACGCGGAAGCGAGAACAGCAACGATTCGAATGCTCAACAATTCCCCTTTATTTAAGAATATAGCAAACAATAATTGCTCAGCATATGGGCCTTTGGGCTACTTCAGATTCATTCATATTCGTTGCATGCACTGCCTTTCAGGGCCCCCAAAGGGGTAGTGGACTACCGCTTGGTTTGCCAGAGCATCAATGGCAAGTAAGCCCGATATGGGCACAAATTCTAGCTATGAAGCGTGGCCCTAATTTCAATGCATATAAAAAACCAAATGGAACTAAGTTTTTAAATTAGCGGCTGGAAAGAAGCGTATTTTATGAGTCTCCGCTTCACTCTGCTGCTGCGGCCACCCTTCATACAGGTACTCGATCAGTCTTCGCGCAGAACAAAACGGCACTTCTCGATTTTTACTGTCCTTATGTGCCTTCCCCTTCATTTTAGCAGGCACGGCCACGGTTTTCTCCTTGAAGCTGCGCCAGTGGGCCGGAGGGTCCTCACTGCCCTTCAAAAGAGGAAGAGTTGGTGCTTGTGTCCCCTGGGAACACCGTCAGTGAAGCCCTGGAGATAAGGCTTTTTTGGTTGACAAAGGAAGTCGGCCAATTGGTTCCGTGCCTTCGACAAAAAGATGCTCTATTAAGGGTGAATGCTTGCTACCAGTGCGCCCCTCATCAGTCGGTTGGACCTGGGCACGCCTATTAGACTATGGCATTTTACAAGTTCTATCCAGTACTCCTACAATATCTGTCAAGAGCACCCTTAAAAAGTACACTCCTCCATTGATTACTCTGCTCGTTGCATTGTGACTCTCGGGACCACTGTGACAAGCCGTTGAAGGTTTCGGGAGGGTTAACGCCTTTCTCGGTGCCACCGATTACATCATCTCACGCGATCTTCTGACTAGACACTAGCTCCTCAGGAAATTTTTCCTTGCACATGAGAATCTTTATCAGAAGCAGGCTGGGGCATCCTTTTGGCTTCAGTGCACCGAACAACACCGTGTGACTGGCTGGGCTTTACCCTTAGCTTCGCTCGCTCGCCTTTTCTCTTAAATATCACGTTACTGAGAACGTGTACTGCACTTTCAGTTGCCATATGTCGGGTTGCTCCTTTTCGGCGCTGCATGCAAGAGACCTGCGCCGTATCTGTGTTGGGTAGGACGTTCGTCTCCCCTAGCGCGTAATCGTAGTTATCTCTGTCTCTCTGCACTTGTCTCCAGGGACCAGGGTCTGAAATCAACTTCTGTGCGTTTCACCCATCTGCCGCATTTTCGTGTCTTAAAAAGGGCCACTGCTTTGCGGAGTGTCCCCTGAAGTAAAGCTCGAAATACGTGAAATTTATTTCCGCTACTCTTTCGCACTTACCACCTGTCTCGAACTCTTGCTGACCAATCGCACTGGTGTTGCCCATTCGTTGAGGTATCCTTCAGGGCTCGTCCATTATGGAGAACCTTCTCGATCCCCTTATATAGCATTCACACAATCAGTCTCGGGACATCTTCAGTTTTCACTCTCCTCGTTTGTTGAATTGAGGAATATGCCGTCAGGCAGGTTGGAAACATAAGAGCAGCCCCCAGTAAGAGTGCCTAGTGTATCGAGTTGCGTTGCGTAGTCCCGTATTGACTCTATTCATCAACCGTTGTTACAGCATGAATTGAACAAAGTACAGTGAAATGAATAATAAGGAGTCAGGCATGTAGAACTGATGGTTCGCGCACTGAGGCGTTTGTATGGATTTGCCCGCAACCCGCAGAGCGGGCCTTTCTGTTGGGAGTCGAGAGCCTCGGCGCCTTCATGGTGTCGTATTTCTGCAAAACACAGTTCCACTTATGTGGTTTATTTTCCTGGTATTCAGTGAGTCTAGCTCGTGTTGGCTTTGTGCCCATTTGTACTGCCCTGCAGTGTACAGAGTGTGCCAGCGCCTTCATCGCGGGTTGACCCTTCCGAAGCCCGCTCATCTGCGGGAGAGAATACATATCTGTTGAAAATGTTTTAATTATTAAATGCAAACCTGCTTTATATCCTGACAGTGTTCCTTTTCTATGGGATTTGGACTGTTTTAGAACTCCCCGTGAAGTGGTTTTTTCATAAAGAATTTCGCGGGCCGTATTTCATTCCCATATGGCCTAGACGAGTGAGAATGAGCAATATTAGTTACTACATGCAACATTTCAACAGTAAATGAAGTGCAAGACTATATATACACCGAGAGGGAGTGCTGTAGCAATTAGTGTGGCAGAACGGTACTGATCCCTGCGCAACATGGCGGCACTCTGACATTACACACGGCACGCCTGGGAGAGCTAGTCACACGAAGTCCAATCCAGATCAGACGTAGGCTGCGAAAAACAGTAAAAATATACAACCACATTGATATGGATGCTGCTAAGACAGTAGATTTCATCTCTTCCTCAATGGTCGTGTGAGACCAGCCCCAACGAGCTCTTTCAGTGTCTCAATGGTAACATGCACCCGACCGCCCTATATTTCGTAGATATAAGGTTACCTCTTCGTTATTGCCTTTTAGAATTTAGCTACCAAGTCTTGTGCGTAAATTCCATTAGTCTTTGGCCCTCTATGCCTTTGTAGACATTGTCACCGGGCGACCACCGGAAAATACCACCGAGCCCGACATGCGCCTCCATACCCGGCGGCTAAAACCAGAATACTATATTTTTAATGGCTGGAGAAGGACCTGAAACCGGTGAGACTCTCAACGCTTTACATCTGTCTGCTCCAAGAAAGCACAGGAAGCCGCACGCGTTATTACGCGTGCGGCAGAAAGAACCCTTGAGTTGAAAGCTATGGTAACGGTAGGCGTACAATCGTTTCCCACTCCTCCGAAGTGGCTGCAACCGTAACGAGAAGCTGGTTTGCTCATCTTTCGCTTCCATGCCCTTTCAGATGTACCCAAGGTGGACTGGGCTTCGAGCCACAGTGAACGGAGGATGGTGACGCAGAAGACCTTGGATGCCGAGCAGAAGCTGCCTGCTGATTCGAAAGCGAACCTGGATCGAGGTATTAACGCTAATAAAGTCCAATTAATTTATGATGGAGCTGGCACGGCGACAGCGAAACGCGCTGCTGACCACTGCGTCCCCCAGTGGCCAGAACCCCAAGGACTGGATGATTCTGAGAGCGTCGTTAGTGAGCTGATAAAACGACTAAAGGAGAGCCTTAGCGAACAGGCAGGGAGCTGGTGGAGGGCATCCATGGCTAAGGTTGCGAATAGGCCCCTCCTCGCTTCATACGAGACTTCTTCTGATGAAGTATTTTCAAGAACTGCCCAGATCCAAGATGAGCTGGTGTCTGTACGTCAGAATCTTTGTCGAGAGCAACGAAAAAACTAGATACTAATATGAGGGAATGGCGTGCTTGATTTCATTGTCCGCTGATTCTGGATATTCTCTTCCAGCGCCGTGCAAACGCAGGGATCAGATCATCTGGGAAATACTGTCGATTACTCCAAGCACGCCATCCAATGTGTACTCTAGCTCCTCCATGTGAATTTTTTCTCGCGTCGCATGTGTGCTTCAACTCAGGGACCGAATGAAAACTCAGTTTTTAGTAGCAACTGGCACGATCGCCTTCAATGGGCATTCCACAGAGTGCTAGCACTTCGTGAGTCGCAGGACTCAAGATCTGCTAGTCAGCTTAGAAGACGGCTTTTCGAGCGCGAGCTGGGCCTCAGTCAGTGAGCTGACACCAGTGTTTCAAGCATTCCGTCGCTCGCTTTCCCCATGGTTCTGCGTACGTAGAATAGTCTGTTTTTGCTATATGAAAATTGCAACGCAAAACAACGCATCGTTTTCAGGGGAGGTTATCTCAGTTGACTAGGAACAATGTGTTTGCGGAACATCTAGGCGATGGGTGCGGTGATGTTTCTTATTTTAATTATGCAGTGAGATTGGATCATTCGCGGCAGCGGCACGTGCCGCGGCAGTGGTGTTACTGCACTCACTGGCACTGGAAGAAAAAGCTCCCTTTACAAATCAGCCACAGCCCACGAGACAGGAACAACCGAGAAAAGGCCCAGCCCAGTGCTTTGTGCGCATCAAGCCAGGGGAATATCCCACCCTATGGAGCGTTTATCGACCAAAGTTTGCTGACGGTAAGGCGCAGGGCGTGAATGCAGGTGTGCTGCACCTAATTTTAGTAGTAATGTGCTAGGAAGTGCAAAAAAATTCGACGGTGTTTTTGGACTGGCGATGCTATTCCTTTTGCGTTCGCATTTTTGCGCTTTATTAGACCAAGTTTATGTCTTCGATAGTTTGGTACTGACGGTTATTGTCGGAGAAGCCCAGGCAAATGTCAAAACAAACTTTGCGAAGGAAGTTTATCTGAATGACATCAAAGGCCGGCAGGCCATGGCCGATGCAGTGTATGCAACATCCTTTGCGCGGAAGTTAGGGCGGGGCTTGCATCCTCGAAGTTGTTCTCAACTTCGATACAGTCAGCAGCGCAACTTACAGAACCAAGTAGACACAGTATGGGACCTACATGACCAAAATAAATTTGAGCGTGCGAAACTCGGACTTCCAATCGCTTGCCTTATTGACTACGCGGGCTTCGCTGTATTAGTTGAGCCGCTTTTACCCTTAAGGTAACGTCGGTTCCAGTTCCGAATTCGCCTGTCGACCGAAAAATATTTGAAAAATTTTAGAGAAATTCCACTTGTAGGGTGTCTTTGTAAGGGGTAGTTGCTGTCGTGTAAAGCCGTTTTTGTATCGCTTTGCTGTGGCAGCCCGGCTCCGGTGAACGTCCTCGAAGAGCTGGTAGCAGACATCAGGCGGCGCCTACCTGACTTCGCACAGCAGTGTGGGAGCATTGGCAATCCGCTGGGATGTTTTGACGCTCTGGACAAAGTTGACCGCGCTACTTACCACAAGTTCAAAAACATCGCTGGCTTTCTCAACCTGGCTGTAGGCTCTTCCGCGTTTATTCGCTTTCGCTCTCACGCAGGTTGAAGTTGGCACTTTTGTCCATGACCGTGTCCCAGTATTGCTTCTGTTGCTCAATAAAAACACATTTAAGGCCCTGCGAAGTTTGGACGGACTAGCCGGGCTGCGTAGTGCTGAATTCTACACTTGCTAGCCCAGATAAAGTCGCCAGATTATTTAGCTCAAATGTGCGTGGGCCTCCAGGACTACCCGTTCGCCCGGGGCGCTTCAGATTTTGATGTGCCGTTGCCACAAGTTGCACTTTGGAGGTCCCAGGTGGACCAATTTTGCATTTTTCGCAACCTTCATGAGACGTTGCCTCCAAAATATAGTGATGGGAAAGTGCTGCCGGTATGGATGTTCACCGCAGCGTCAGACTTAGCGGCTTACAAAACCAGAACTGCATTGCTATAGGCTCAGTGTTTCACTCTAAATGCTCACGAAGTCCAAGTCTCTTCTTTGCGCTGTGTGTGCCTCCTTTACCTGTACAGGAGCAGAGGTTCCGGCAGGAATTTGTTTCCCGTGTTTTTCACGTTGCCTTGCCATGCACCAGCAGAGAGCAACACAAAGCTGCAGAAGGTAAGGGCAGATTTTCGTTGTTTTCATGAGTACTCTCTTCGCACAGGGTCCCGTGAATATGGAAATGCTTCTTAGGTGTCGCTGTGTTTTCAGTTTCTGCGTCAAATCTTTTCCAGCGTCACGTAACAATACGAGGAACAATGGAAACGCTTTCCTTGGCTGTGCGTTCGCTTGACCTTGCCATTAAGCAAGATCTCGTACCCACCATTAATGCGCTTCAAAAGAATTTTCTTGACTCATATGACGTTTCACACGCTCTTCATTCCCACGGAATAAACATACGGTATGACATTTTCTGTAGTGCTGTTTGGACCAGTTTCCGGCGTCACTCAGTGTGCATGAAAAATTCACGTGCAGTTGTTGCCGGGCTGCAGAAATATGGCACAGCTACTAGATCATGGCCCCTCCTCTCCATTCAAAGACGCCATTATCCGTGAAATAGTGGCGAGATCAGCCAAGCACTTGTTTCGACTGCAAGTTGAAAAGCTTATTGGGAGCGGATTGGTCGAGACTAGCCACATAGAAGAGATACAACGGTGGGCCTGCGCGTATTGTATTGTAGAAAAGCACTAGCATATTTACCACAGGGCGTCCACCTTTCAGCTGGTACCTTTGCAACATTACAGTATCCCTAAATGCATAGAGCAACTTCGGAGCCGTCAACAATTAGTCCGTAACCTAGGAAGACATATGATCATGGAGGAGAGGCTCCTATGTAATCTGTTAATTCTTTAACACCCCTTTCTGGAAAGTTGTTTTATTTCCTTCTTGAATGCTTGCATTCAGTTTGGTGGTAAAGCTTTTCAACCTGGTCTTGTCCAAAAACGAGGAGTCGAGGATTTTTTGGCGTCACCAAATCCTTCCACTGGCCCTAGAAAGGTGCGTTATGAGGAGCAGTGCGGCGTGTACGGGTCGGATGTTTCATATGCAGGCAAGAAATTTTTTGAGCAATTAAGGGCATTTCTGCCTCCAGGTACAAGGTTGACTTAAGCGACTTGGCATCGCCAGAAAATGTTTGCACGTTCTCCCTATTTAAGGCTATGGAATACAATCTTAGTAGGTCGCACATCGTTCTCCGCTCCAATTCGGAACGCTGGCTGTATACCAGCACAGCAAAGCAAACACAGTGTAGATATGAGCGATTGGGCTACATAGAAGTTAATGCGAATCAACTCTTCTGAATACTGCATGAATTCGTACTCCAAAGCAATATTGGGAGCACATTACATTTGTTACCCAGTAGGCGGCGCCACCAGTTCGGTTATTGCTCTTTACTTGAAATTGTTCCGGTCTCATTTCAACTTTCATGCTCAAAGCAACAATGAGATAAGCAATGTGCGACAGATGGATCCCATGCGTAGGCCGCAAGGTGCTACCTGCCCAGCCACAACGTCGGAGCAAAAGCTCCAGGAACTTGTTCTAAAGTTCCGTTAATTTGTTGTCTGTAATTTAATCAGGCGTTCAGTATGACGATAGCGTGGCCGTGCGCTCAAACGATTCATCTGGTGAAGCATCTCTTGAGCTCCGACTACCATTAACTGTAGCCGACTTGTCAACTTTTTCTACTGGTCGGGATTCTCTGCTCTTTGCCCATGTTTCACAAATTCGGGCGGCTCTTCTAGGGAGCTACTCTGCGGAGACACGGCCCCATGATGACGAAGGGGACTCAGGAACACAGCTTCGCTCAACCAAGCAGCTCATGCGACATTTTGAAAATGCAGGTTAGACTACCCAGAGCGACACTTATATAGGGGCAAGTTCACTTCCATCATGATCTAGCTTTCTTCTAACGAACGGCTCTACATATTTAGTATCTTTGCTTAGGGGAACACGCCATTCTCCACTGGCTAAGACACAGCCTGGCACAGCCTGGCAGATTGATATGACAGTTAGTCTGGTGTCTCTCTCGTTGTTTCCGCGGCGCTTACTTGCAGGGAGAGACAAGGAAAGGGGTGAAGGTAGTAAATTGGGAACACCTTGTACAGTGGAAGAGCTGAAGACGTTTGCGGAGCTGCGGGCAGTTCGAGGATTTTATCCCAGGGTTCACCTTGTTGCTCCAGATACGCTGGCGCTCATGCAAGCAGCTGTCGCCTCGACTGCAGTTGGGTCGAGTAGCACTCCTTTGGATGTGCTATTAGATAATATGAAGGCTGGTAGGCACTTGAATTTTCCAGCAATATCAGGAACAGGCGTGAAAACCTTCCTCTTTACTGTGTGCTGACACCCACGTTCGTATAACCTGCGGCTGGCAGCTGCGTAAAACATTTTATGCCGTAGGCGTTGTGGTTCCCGCTTCCCGGGAAGAAATATGGGGGAGTGGAAACTTTGCTCTGCACGGAGCTTGCGGAGCAATTAGGGCAGCCCTTATGGGTACGGCCACTGACAGGGTTTGATTATGCCATGGCATGCCGTGGCGTGAAAACATTACTGGCTAGCCTGACAGTACAGTTACTTCATTGTTCATTATTTTTCATTATTGACCAGATACTTCTATTCGCCATTATTGGGGGGAATTGTGGATGCTGCGGTTCCCCAGCCCGTCTTTTCTATCCTGGGCAGCGCATAGTTTCCCGTTTGGAACTTTCTGCGTTTACTTTTCAGGAACAGGATACCCGTGCCACCCGTACTGCCTTGCATTCGACGAAGATGAAATGCTGCATGAGGCATTTTTGAAGATGGCAGACGAGAACAGGGCACAGTCACCACTGAAGCAATGCCTTCGATACAAGAGAAGAAAACTCGCCTTGACCCTTGCTCTTCTGTCAAAAGCAGCAATAGGTACTGATTTGTCTTTAAAATTTCGAATGAAACTGCAGCATTTGTCAGGGAAGGAACGTGTATTGGTTGTGTACTCATCTTGCTGTACCGGTGCAGTCGGTTGTGCCAACAGGAAGCGATATTTTCTTGCTAGGAAAGATTCTGCAGCAGACTGCCTACATCATGCTACAGCATAATGAGATTAGGGAGGCTTCCAGCATCGCAGATTTCATTTATTCGAGAATACCAAATGGATTATCACTTCAATCAGAGGCGTTGCTCATCGATATGCAATGCACCACAAAAGGAAGTAAGCATGTTTATTCTGCATGGCATCTTCAAATTTACCGGAAGTTCCGTTGACAGTTCACTCCTTCAGATCAGGCTCCGAGCTATTGATGGTGAATTTCTGCTTCAGATCAACCACAGGACGCCCTGATTTGCTATCGGAATCTAAAGCCAATTTTGGTAGCCATGGAAGGGAAAATGTCACTTAGACTGCTCTTGGCTCACCTTATGCTGGCCTCATTTGCCTTCAAAAACAAGCGTTTCAATTCCGCCATTTTGCACGCGTTCAGAGTCCACAGAATATCGACGGTTGTCAGTAAACGGGCCTTGTAAAATGCTGCATTTAGTAGTTTGGACGGGAATGCCGCGTGATGCACCAAGTACTGGGTTGAGGTTTCAGCTCAAAAGTGCGGCTCCTCCTCTGCGGGGTCAGCACTTTGCTTTTTCTGACATTTCCTTTGGATTTTGTCCCCTGTCTACTTGTGCGCTGAATCTCAGTGTTTCGATACTGGAGGCGCCCATTGGGCTGCTGTTGCAGCACTACGACTTATCGGTGAGCACTACCTGTGTGCACTGTAAGAGGCGAAAGGCAGCAATGATATATGCACATTACTGCTCTTCAGTGTAAACGGTCGCTATACCAGTCTATTTGCAGGCGATCCGATCGATACCGGCCCTCTGGAACTTTTAGTGTGCTTGACTGTACTGCAGCACGGTCCATGCTTGAAGTCCAGCGTTGCTCGGAGGCCGTTATCATCTTACAGCACACTGTCAGAGCGGCAACAGCTAATCCCGAGCTGCCTACGCTTGTGACGCATATGAGCCGCTTCTGGTTAGCTGCAGCTTTTGCCCGGTAAGAAGCCTTTTGAAATCCTAGAACGGCTGCGTAGTGTTTTCCCGTCATTTTCAATCACAGCACACTGTATTGTTGTCTTGGATCTTTCATTTCTGTTCAGAATGGGTCGCTTGGAGAACGCCTCTGTCGAGGCGCAAAATATGCTCGCTGGACTTGAATCTCAGCTCGGCGCAAATCATGAAGCGACGATTTCAGCTCTCTATCTTGCAGGTTAGCTCAGAAAGCTCCTGTTTACGCCAACACTCCTGAAGAGCCACGCAGGATAGCGGAAGTGTTGGAGGAAGACAGAAGTACGCCAGCGGTTAGTCGTTCCCAGATGCACTGTGGTTATTTATGAGGATTGATGCATCTGGCTAGTTGAGGATTTTGCGTCTGCAAATGGATGCGCTCCAGCGGAAGTAAAAATGCGGATAGGCTGCCTGGCGCTTCAAAATCCTCCTCTTAAAATTCTAGGGACTGGCTCTGAGCAACACTCCACCGAGAACGAAATATGCGGTGCTCCTAGTGAGCTCCAGGAGCCCTTGCTGTGGAAGCCACTAACTGCTGAAGACTTTGAAGTGTATGAGGAAATATTTCGTGACCGAGAAATGATACAAGCGCGAGCTGTACGGGCATTTTCCAGAAAGAAGCAGCAGGAAACATATTCCCGTGACTGGGAATATCACTTTGTTCGCCAACCACTATGGGCGAGCGATTGCATCGTTGCGTCTGCACAGGGGTGGAATGTCTAGCTGTATGAGGCATCGCTCTGTCGAATTGGTTATTTTCATGTGCAGTTGGGGTAGTGAAGAACTCAGGGCAACTTTTTCTGCATTTCTAAGCTCCCGTGAAGCTTCGTATGCATTTTAGCTTAATGCTGTGGAGATGTACAGGACGCCGAACAGCTTTTTCTTGCTCTTTTCCGGCGCCTTCTGTTCCGGGAAGACAATGTATTCATAGAAGTATACAAGCCACCTGGCCTAAACCGCAAGCAACGTCTTCGACAGATATTTTCAACGCTGAAGCAAATTTTGAAGCTCAAGTTGTGTTCGCTTCCAGTTTCTGTCCTGCGAGTTAGTCATGCAAACGAGGCGCATCCGTTGAGGGCTGAAGTGGCACGAAACCAAAGCTGCTGTAACCACTTTGATATGTTAGCCACCTGGGTTGTTGATAATATCGCTACTTTGTAGCTTGCGTGTTTGATTGCCGCAGCTGGTGGCTCATCGCATCTACGTCGCCTGCGTCGCGCAGAGCTGCTCGTCTGCGGTGCGCACTTTCGGCCTTATGGAACAGGATCAAGTTGCAGAGTCTGAGCAAGAGAACGGCGACGGCAATAGTGTTGGGCCTTTGGTGAGCTTTCTGTAATATGATGCAGACATCTGCAGCATCATATTTTCAGCACACAGCTTGTCTCTCAGTGTCATACTGCCGGACGGACCAAAATCAAGCTGCTTTTTGGCTGAAAGTCAAGCTTCACCTGTTACACTGGTGCAGTACCTTGGAGCCGATCGTACAAAGGTCTACTTCAAAAAGTACCCTCGCCTGCAAGTAGGAAGGCGGAGAACTTCAGCAGCTTCACCGAGGCACTTGACTACGGCAGCTAGTACTGACATGCGCACGAAGTTGGCACGTCAAGTGGAAGAGGATTCTCATCCGGACTATCCATTTTCATTCTATTCCCAGCAGAAAGTGTCAGGAACAGGACGCCGCAATGTGCATGGCCATGACGTCTTATATGCACGCGTGGATGGATCGTCCGGCCTGCGACCAGCGCAGTGAGGTTCACCCTAAAAACAATTACTTAATATGCAGTCCCTCATTTGGGCGTGAGGTAACCCGGCGCAAAACCAGCTGCCACCCGCGTATTTACAGCTGTGAAGCACCTAAAATCTGCGTGGCACCAAAGATGTGCGACCACGCTTCCCTGGTGCTGCGTGACACCAAAGATGTGCGACCACGCTTCCCTGGTGCTGCAGGGAGCACGACGACATAATGCTACAGCTACTTCTCTTTGGCAAGGGTCCTTCTTCTCTGAACGGGGTTCTTAAAAGCTGTTATATGAGTTGCTTGGAAGACCGTGACAGAAACCCGTCAACGTGGTGCGGTAGAGTAAAGGCAGTGGTGGCCCCAGATTAATTCCTCCGCTCCTTAAACGTGCCCGTGTCTTAGGATTCATTTGAAGATCTTTACCAGGAAACAAGCATGCCTTCAGCTTCGCTGCAGTGTGGCCGTGCTTTTTGCGGGAGGTGGCTTCAAAGAATTTTGTAACACATGTCTTCCTTACTACTCAGGTTTGACGACATGATATCAGATGTTCTTACAGAGCGGGGCAGTTTGCAGCACTTGCGGTTTCTCATCTGCATGTTGCGTCACTTCTTCACGCTGTCGCAAAAGTCGCTATTTATTACTCTCGCGCTGGGAGATTTCAACAGAAAACATGCCAAAATCTTCGTCCAAACCATGCGCACGCAAGAAATCGAGGCTGAGGGTGAGCATTCCCCAAATGCCCTACGCCGGTATCTTTGCATAAGGTGTTTACCAAAATGTGACCGGCCTGGATTGGACAGATATTGGGGCAACATTCCCTACATAGATTCTGTGGTGACTGTTGTGCCTGTCGTGCGATACGCGTGCAGTTTCTCGAAAACTGGTGCTAAAGAGAATGATCAACAAAAGTCGAGAGGAAATGCCCGAGAGTACTGATGGTAATGCTTGAGGCTGTAGAACCACATGATCCAGCCGAGAGTGCATACGGTACGCAGTGCTGTCTCCAGAAGCTTTTCAGGTCACCTGTGAGCGTCCTTCGGTACCTGCCCTGCCTTCAGATTACTTTGAGTATGATTTCAACTCGCCGAGACCATTTGACCTAACCATCGGGATAAGCCAGTGCGAGGACCTCCTCAACTCGACTACCTGGACTGGTACGCTATCTCAGGAATGTAGTACTATTTGCATCTTCACGACCACCTACTTGCCTGTGCGCTTTGACCTTTAACCTGTCATGCAGGGTCGGCGCTGCGGGTCGCTCGTTCTCAACTTGACTTCACACTTACGAAGCAATCACTCACCAAACAAGGCCCCACCCAAGCGTGGCAGCAGTTCATCAGTAAGCAATGAAGAGTGGAACTACGAGCCTTATTCATAACTGCTTCACTTGTTGCTAAAGCTAAAGTGAACGTAGATTTTCCCGTCCGCACCAGGTGCCCGTGGCACGCTGCAGTAGAATTTACTAGCGGGCCCCTCATCTGCGTGACTTGCTTGAAGGCGAAAGTGAGCCGCTGGACGGCGCAGGAGCTGATGATGAAAAGCCACTGCGGGCAACAGTTGGTGCCCAACGAAGTGATCTCGCCGCAGTTGAGGAGAACTATTTGAAAATACCTCCTGTGGGTAAGGGGAACATATCGGGGAAGACTACATGGAGGAGCATGAGCACAGCTGCACGGCTCTCGCAGATCCGTTTTGGTGGCAGCAAGCATCTAATCACAAACATGCCTCCCATTGCTTATGGTGTTATGAGGGACATATTTAAGCCTCAGCATGACTCAGAATTGGAGGCGTTCGGATGCATTGAGTGCCTCCAACCACCAGACAAGGTTCCGTTCATTGGTGGCTGATAACGCAGTTGAGGTGTACTCAGTCGTTTCTGTCGAATTCCACCATTTGGCGATGCATACACTGTACAACGCACTACGTATACAGATAGACTTGTGGTGGTGCCTGGGGCTTGGAGGGTACAACGCTTCGTGTCCCGCAGACAACTTCACTGGGTCCACGGGCTGCGCAGTCGTCAATATGTATAAACGCATACACGACGTGCCACGTAGCACCACTGAGATGAAGCACCGGACTCAGCTATGTGAAAATAGAAACTCAGTTAGCTGCTTGCCCCAACTGTGCACATGGCACCTAAAAGCGCACAACAAAAATAAGCAGAATTCTAACGCAGCGTGCTTCCACAAGCCTACGCATGCTGGTTGTTCGGGAAGGCCCTGGGCAGCCTAGCAGTGTCACGGTCGCGACTAACATAGATATCACCCGCCAATGCGTAGCCAGACTGTAATGAAGTGATATTCAGTCCTCTTGCACCACCACATGGTTACTCCAGTATTCCACCGAGCGCGCGTAAGCTTCGCGATTTATGGACACGCCGCTGCCTCCCTCCTCTATGAGCGCATTCCGCATGATCCTGGAGAAGAAGGACATCAGATTTCGCTCCTGCAAGACTTTTTGGAAGCATTTGTGTCGCCTTTGCTTGCCGACACTTGAAAATATGGTCGTACGATTGCACGTGGAGCGGGATGGAGTCACACAAAGCAACGATACAGCACTACCGTCTATTCAATACGAACGGTCGAAGTTGTCAGGGCAGCGAGGCCGTTCGACGTTTCTGTTGTACCGTAGTTGCTTACGTTATAGGGTTCATAGGAAGCTCAAACGGTTCATCTTGTGCCTTAATAGACACTATGAACCACTCAGGCTTGGTTGGATCTGAAGAGAAAAGCAAGCAAGCTTTCCGCGACTGTCTAGCTGCCGCTATTCTACACAGGGCAACGCGACACCAATGCATAGGACAGAGCTGCATTTCGGGAAACCCACCGATAAGGACTTCACTCTTTGTCATTGCAGCATTTTCTTTAGCGATTTGCTCCCGAGAGTAGAGAATTAGATCTATAAGTACACGCAGGGCGCACTGTATTGTCACATGCGATAAGTGTCCCACAGCACCTCGCGAAGTGCATGCATGGCGACCAGTTATCGCCAATTATTCGTGTATCTCGTGGCTATGAAAGTCAGCCGTACCGAGGTATTTAGCACGATGCAATTGATGTCGAACGACGGACGCTGGCAGCCACCGGGACAAAACAGGAAGTTCTTCTGGCCTCCGAGCCAAGTACCCCGTGCTAAACCAAGCAGCTACCACAGTATACGAGTGAGAACCATAAGAAGTTCCATGACTGTGGTTGAGGATGCATAGTAGTCGTTCATATAAAGGAACTTCGCTAGCATTGGACGCCGCCGAGCTGTTTCGTTTTAGGCCACTTACCGGATATGGCCTACATTGTCCTCTGTAATTGGGATCGCAGAGGCTCTAGCTTCTGTGAAGTTTTCAATAAATAGGTGCTTGCAAAAAGGGGCGTAGCCGTCAACTAGAGTCAAGCTTTTTCGCTTCAAGATCTCGTGAAGCTAAAGCAGAAAAGACATCATACGAACAGGCGTGTCTTCTGTCCAGCTTCAGGCATGCAAGATCTGGTATATTTCCTCTGCGTCAAAGTATGCTCTATGATTCACCTGTTTCATAAACATATCTTTATCCATTGGAATTACTGTTCCCGGGTACTTCGGATCATCGAATTGCCTAAAGCAAAATGGTTCTGCGGAAACCACACAAGAGGCTAATGCACGTACTCTCACGACAAAAAAATGAGCGGATAACCAAATGACCAAACATGACCCACATATGCATCCGCAAGCTCTGTATAATTGTACTCCCACACAGTAATATCACCTAGGCCGACGGATAGCATTCCCTCCGGTGTATGTGTAGTTGCAGCGCCTTCTGAAGCCATTCCCACTGAATGACTGAATCCTCTTCTCCTGCCGAAATTGATCCCCCTCTGTAGAACTGTTGCTCGTGCAGTGAGCAGAATAAAGCTCGCAGCTCTTCCCAGTCTAGCAATGTGCATGCCGTGCGACACCGCTGCAACAACACTTGGATGTGGACGTCCTATGCAGAGAAGGAGGTTTCAACTGGAGGAAAACAATTTGGGAATCAGGGACGTATATACGGATGGTGAGTGTGAGACGAAAAAAACATTGCCTGGATGGATCTTTAACTGGCAGGGCGTTGCCACAGAAAGAAATGCTGAGGAACTGCTACTAATCCATACACAGTTCTTTTAAAAAAGAAGCTCCCGCCAGCATTATCCTCTACTAGTTCTATTTTACCTTTGTGTAGCTGAATACAAGCGCTATGTAAATGCACTTCTGGGATTTTGGGGCTTTGGCTTACTTACGGAGGCGGACACTCCCCGCACCGGCAGCTTCTACCTGCATGCCATTCCCCCAGTGCTTCATTTCGGGCAGAAACAATCGGAAATAAAGTCCTTTCCGTTGACGTTCCTTTTGTGGGTGCATCGTTGACGGATTTTTGTGTGGCCACAATGGTGTCAGCATCCGGTGCTGCTCAGGCCCGCAGCCACATGTCGCGAGGGAAGAAGGCTGCCACAGCAGGCAAAGCTACTAAGATCAAGTTCGTTATCGACTGCCAGAAGCCTGTTGAAGATAATATTCTTGAGGCCAAGGGTTTGGTAAGTCGGTTCAATGCTTGATGGGGCGGACTTTACGTTGCGATGTACGGCGTTAGTAGACCTTGCAGCTCTTTCCCTTGTCCTTTCTCTGTACTTTTTGACGTCGTTTAAAGTCTTTCGAAATATTCCAATGTCAGAGTAGGGTTGTGAGGTGAGGCCTTACGAGTGCTTACCCCACCCCACACCCATCATCGGCGCTGTGGTTCCGCAACACGTAGCCGCTGTGATCGGCCTCGTAAATAGGGCCTAACTCTGCGGAAATGCATGCACTAATGGATATATATAGTCTGGCTGAATTGGTGCATCCCGCGCACGGTAAAGTGTGAAACTGTGCCTGTAACGGTTGTTCCGAAGTAGTGGGAGTCGTATTTTGCTGGTGTATATACGGTTCGCCGTGAGAACAGTCGGCGGCAGGTTTTGGGGCTGTTTTTGCGCAGGAGAAGTTCTTACAGAGCCGCATTAAAGTTGCGGGGAAGCTGAACAACTTTGGAGAGAAAATTGAGGTTTTCCGGGAGAAGGCAAAAGTATGCGTCACCGCCGAGTTGCCCTTTTCAAAGCGTTACCTGAAGGTACGGCCACAGTTGTTGTACTTGTGCTCAGCACACTTGGTTAGTATGAAGGGGAAGGCTTGGTCAGTTGAACAACTAAATAGCAGCGTAATTAAGAACAGGAAGCCTTATTCTAGGACGCGCCGACCATTCTTAGTAATTCCTGTCACCATCTGCTTTTGCACAAGACGAGATCCGTAGTCCGTACTTTGTGCGCAGTACCTCGTGAAGAAGTATTTGAAGAAGCAAATGCTACGCGACTTTCTGCGAGTTGTTGCAAATAACAAGACGTCGTACGAGCTGAGGTACTTCCAGATGCCCCAGGACGACGAGGAGGCGGCATGAACTAAGCGCACTAGCGTGTCCAGAAGCGGTCTTCTTGTTTACAAATCAAACAAATTTCTTTGTTTATTGCCTGCCCTTAATCGGCTTTTCGCAGACAGGTGAAAGCTAATTTGGGAACGGCTACGCTGCAGCAGGTTGCGTGCATCAGTAGATATGCCAGTACCAGAGAAGCCCATGCGTAGTGTAGTGGGCAAAGCGTGTAGTCAGAAGAAAGTTCAATTCTAGACTCAAGTTTTGTTACTGGAGCCGCGCCATGCGAGCGCTCCCGCTGCAGCATGCTGCCTGCGGAGCAGCAAGTCCTGCTACCGACGAACTTTAGACTCCCGTCTAGAGTCTAGGGGGCATTCGTCGGCACTGACTGGGGGACAACGCACGAAGCAGCCGCATGAAAAGCCTGGCAGTTCGCAGTGCTCTCGCGGGCGCGGCTGTGCGGGAGCAGGCGGAAGGGGGAAGGAAGAGAGGCCCGTGACTGCCACCCATGACCTCACCGTGGCAACGTTGGTCAGCCTGCCTGTCTCACACCTTTGAAAACACTGCTGCGTCCACGGCCGTATAGAGTCCGGTGCCTCGCCTCCAAGCACCAAGGGGATTTCTGGCTGTTGCTCAGCGTGCGCTGTGAAGTGGTTTTGTTCCGTGAGCACATGTTCACCAACGGTTTCATTGCCGTGCACCACACAGCAATCTTTCGGCAGAATGCTTCGGGGCATTTTGCAATCGTGTTGATAATCGGCGATGGCGCTAGTTGGCATTTCGAGCTGCCACGTGCTCGATAGCAAGTCTTCGACGGCGGGCACTTTTAACAATTGGCAAAGAAAACAAGGAGAAACAATTTAGTATTTAATGTTTTTGAGTCTCAAATTGAAAAAAAAGAAGGTGGAATTCCCAATTGCCAGGCTCCGACGCTGAACGGCAACGTTGGAAAGGGCATGACAGTTTGACCTGCAGAAGTGAGCAGTTTCGAAGAACCAGCACCTTTCGGAAAGTACAAATAATAACCTACAGAAGCAATTCACTTTACTCGATACAATCATTTGTATATTTCGAGGAGAGTAGTAGCCAGCATCTATGCTGCTCGAGCAGTTCGTACACAGCAGCGGCATGAAGGATCATGATGAGCTGGGCTAGGATGCGCTGAGTTCCTTATGCCTGGTCTGAGTGCCAGTACATTCAACTAGTAGTACCGATGCTTTTTACAATTTCTGTCTGTGCCGCTTTGGCTTCAGTCGACCTCACTTAGAGGGACCATGTCGCTTTTCATTAGGAGGTTGTCCTTCCGGTTCATCAAGACAGCAATATGTACTCAGTGTATTCTCCGTAAGGATCCCGTTTCCTTGAATGTTTCATATGTTTTTACTTTTATGCACACATGAATCACTTTTCAGAACCCATATTTATCTCTTGGTCACTTCTTGGTGTCGAAGCTTTCGAGACACGGAACCTCGGTAGTTCCCCCTTGAAATCACCGCTAAATGATGGACCCCACGAGAAAAATGGCAAGGGAGTTGTTATTTTAGCCTCAAAATGCAGTTGAAAAATTGAAACACGCTATAAAACCAGGTTCTTCCAACTTTTTTCCGGCCGTTCAGGAGCAGGCCTTCACGCCATCCTCACTGCCATTCAAGCTGGTAAACATGCATCATATTACTCAACAGATGGGCAGGCCACCACCCAGACCATTCAAATTGTAGCCTGCATGGCTTCTACGGGCCGCCGATGCTATTCCAAGCAAAACAGCCCTCCCCACCTCGCTGCCCGATGAGAAGTTGCACGATGGGCTGCAGGCGACGCAAAAGATAGTGCCTAAGGGCTCTCAGAGCATCGCCCCTCCACTGTCATTCCTAGTAGATTCTGTGACACAACCACTGGTTTCGGGTCTCCACAAGAGGCAGCCTCATGACTCGCACACCTCTGGAGCCAAAGCGTTTGCCGAAGAGCCAACGCATCTTCAAACGGAGGAAGACGAGCTAAGGAGGGGAGATGGTTTCATCGTTGGAGCTGCCTATAGCGGCCCAGATTTCCAGCCGCGAGAGCCTGTTACGATCGGGGAGCCTCCGATATTTGCAATGCAGAATGTCTCCATCTTGCCACCGCAGGCTCGGAAGCCAATTAGTTCAGCTTACCGCCAATTTACTTCTCAGATGCAGAAAGCTGCAGTGGAGTACTGCACAACGAACAACTTGAATTGCAGCGAACAGCATGCCCTCCAGACTGCTATTTCTGTGGCACTGAGGACATCTCCGGCAGCCTCCATGTTCAGGCAGATCTCAGCATCTCTCAGTGCAGTTGAGGTAATGATGCACTATATATTGCCTCAAAAGTTGAACTGGAGACAGTAAGAATAAAACTTTAGGGGGCGGTGGCAAGTGCTCTGCGGCCTCTAGGCTGGCCAGGGGACCAGAAAGCGGTGCCGAAGCCGCCGCCCAAGCCGCCCGTTCAAACAGCAGAAGCCGTGCAGTTTGCCTTTTCACTTGTGGGGACTTCAGTGGCTCTCCTGAGGAGTTTTGTTCGCGTCACGAAAAGCCCGCAGCCACTAATACCCCTGGACACGTACGTGTGGATGGAAAATAGAAAAAGATGGGCTGCGGTGACGTGGAGTTCTTCAGGCAGCTGCATGATCATCACCGCAGCATTCTGTCGAACCTATTATACAATGGCCGGCAAACAGAGGGCTGCTCAATGATAGCGCCGCTGAAGCTGGCCTCAAACTGTAGAAGTTTCATTATTGAGGTTCCTGCGCGCACAGACAACTGCGTAGGAAACGGCCTTGCTCAAGGTAGTCTGCAAAAGGAGATGTGCGGTGATAATACTGAAAAGTTATCTTTGCACAGGCGGCGCTCTCACTTCATTAACGGTGCATGGCTTTGAACTTTCGTGTCTCTCCTCACTGCGGTGCTCTCAGCAGTACATTGCACATGAACCATACAACCTCGACGGCGGATACCACTTGACGTCGAGATTGGGGGGCTCTCTTTCGTTCGAGAAAATAATACCCACGATTGATCCTCTGGACAGGTCGTCTAATATGCTGTATCTGTACAAGTCCGAGGAAGGCAAGACTGCCAGCGAGATACTGAAGTCTTCACACGTCGCAGTCAGCGCCATCCCGGTATAAGCTTCGCACCTCCTCCTTCAACACTGCAGTTATGCGAGTCTCTGAAATGCAGCACGAGGATGACGTTCCCGGGCCGTTCGCTTACTTGCCCATGTCATCATTCGGCTTTCCTCCTTACCAACGCAATGCGCCACCCGAGTGTCAGAACGCCGATGAATTTCCCTTTCCTTACTGCCTTCTACACGGAGTATCTCACTGGCGCTTCACTGAAGTCCGTCCGAATTCGTCTCGTCACAAGACGAAGTACTTTCCAGCTATTGTTTCAGTAAGTTGTAACGATGCACTGAACACTAGTCCCTATGTATACATGAGCGCGAGCCAGTTCCATGCGGACTGTGGAGTTTAACAGGCATCTGTTACATTGGACTGGGGCAGACTGCTATCCGTGATGCCTTCTGGTGCTTGACTAATCTTGTCCTATCGCTGGCCCACTTTGTTGCATTTGTAGGGAATGCATCTTGTCCGTATGCAACTTGTCTACAGAGGGATTCGCTGCACAAAAGGCGACTGTGTATACACACGTTGATCCCTTCGCAGTGACACAGGCTCGGCCTCGACATATCCGCATACTCTGCATGGCCCTAACTGCGTTTTCCTAGCCCTGCGCAGTCTAGAAAAGAATGCTGTCGTGGCTTGCCCGTGTTCTCTAAACTGCGGGACCTATCGCCCAACTGGCAACATACAAGAGAAGAAAGACGCTCCGGCAAAAAATGCAAAACTTTGTGGCGAAGGCAGTTGTCCCAGCTCCTCCTCAATTACTCTTCAATGGCTGTTTGACCCTGCCATATTTGTCATTGAAATCAATGAGTCCGGCCTCGATGGCCTTCTCGTCCCAATAGGCAACTGGCCGTTTGGTGCTTACCAAAAAATTGACTTTGCGGACATCAAGGCCCACGCAAAAGCACAAGTATGCGCTGACTGCTGCAACACTCCTCCCCACACCAGCATTGCAGTGAACGTAGACGCTGTGGCCGTTCTGTTCACAACCGCGCAAGAAAGCAGACAGGGAACTTCGTGAGGGAAAGAACAAAATATACGCATTCGGCACTCTGCCTTGTTCTTTCTCCCGTGAGGTGGGTTGGGGGAAGCAGACTACCTGAATCAGGGCATCTAATATCAGGGCACACTGGGCCACTGCAAGCTTCCGGCAAGCATCACTCATGTCCTCTGTGGGCATCCACACGTAACGGAGGCCGGCGGACTCGTACAGCTGGCCCGCTGCCTCCGGCGTTCGCTTGCTAGCCAGCGGATCGGGGAAATTTGTCCTGCTCACCAGAAATGGATGACAGTGGGGAAAAAAATAGCAACTACAGGAATACAAATAACGACGAGCACACACTCAGTGATCTGAAAGCGCCGCCAAGCGTGCTCCCTCCGCTGCCTGACTTCGAAAAAGAGGCCCCATTACCGCCACCGTTTGGCTTACTTCATGTCATCTGCAGTTTGCATATTGAAAACCACGGTCACTTTCAGCTCCTCCTTCAGCTGTCGGATGTGCTTGAGCTGACGAGGGCAAGATCCCACGTAAAGATTTGGGAGAATGCGCGAGTAATGCATACGTCCCTGTGCCTTCACAGTGTTGTAGAAAAATGTTGTGTGGCCGTGCTCACTAGCATCCCCAGCTGCAAACGTAGCACACAACTGCATCTGCGCCGATCTATCACTCCACAGTCTAGCTGAACAGGACAAAGAACCCCAGAGGCTCCCAAAGCAAACTGCTGGAGGCCTGCGTGTAGCGTGAGTTGTGTTGTGTCCACTGTGACGCGCAAGAACCAAGTACCGTTCGGGTCAGCCGTCGTCTTAGCGCAGGTCTGCTTAGCAAACACACTGACTATCTACTTTTTAAGTATGCTAGGTGCTTGTACACTCCGCTGTTCTAGACCGCCTACTCCTCGGATCCTCAAACCTGGAAACCTTGCACAGATACAGTACCTCCAGGCTCCCACTTTCAGATTCATCCACCACAACGTCCATCGGATCGAAGAAGAACTTCCTGTTAGTCTCCGGGCCAGACCCCTCCCAGATAACATGTAGGCTATTGGAAGGCGGCTCGGCATGCTGCGCGGGAGCGGGAGGAAACAGCCAAGTACGCCATGTGCAGGAAGGGCTGCCGTAGGCAGAACGCTGAAACGATTCCCCAGGTGTATCTGGCACGTACGGAGCCACAGGCTTTTGTGAGTTCCACAAAATAAATTTGTATTCGAACTGCACTCGCTTAAGAGGGTGCTGCTCAAGTATTGCAGCAATACGAGGTGCCCTGTGGTCAACACGGCAGTAAGCCGCCGCTGCAATACTTGACGCTTCGTCGTTTGTTGAAGAAAGTGTATCTGGGAGAAATGCCGAACGCTGCGTCCCTGCCGATGCGGAGTCTCTGCAGGTTATAGCTGCTATTAGCTTATCTGAAAAAGTGTCAGCAGCACCTTCCGTGCCGTTACACCGATGGCTGCTGGACCCTGCTGCCCCTGCAGCGGACTGCCCACAGCGTTCCAGACTTTTCTCGTTGACCTCCACGTCTGCGAACCACAGGCTGGGTTCAATCCCACCTTCAGAAGGCGAGCTGTATGGCAATAACGGGAGGCATTTGCAAGGATCCCAACGACCTAAGAAGTCGGGGCTCCCCGAAACTCCTAGTTGAGATCCAGGCGGAACAAATGCTACGCAGCTAAACCGCAGGCGCATTATGCTGGTTGCTATGGTGGAAAGCCTGCGCAGCGAGAGCCCTGTTAGACCGTCAGCGAACGAATACAGCACTCGTCTCGCTAGAGCAGGGTTCCGCGCCGCCTTGGGCTTTCGGGCACTGCACTTTGTAAGTGTGACTTCGGGTGAAAGTCTAAATATGCTTTATGAAAGGCTAAGTCGCATACAGCTACGCCGCCTTCCCTTCATGGTGGAATGGCGCAACGAACAGGTGTGAGCGAGCTGGACGATTTAACGGCCTTCAAATAATGAGTGGGCTCTCCCAACTGCTGTGACAAAACCTGGATGATAATTCTTGATTCCTTCGTCATCAGCAGAGAAATGGCAAATGCATCGTTCGCCATTCTCCTAGGCCGTCGCGACAGCCCTGCGAACACGTGGACCGTCCACAACAGATTCAAGCTTCGTCACACCACATGAGGTGAATGGATGCTTTCACTCCGTCCTGATTCTTAAAATGGATTCAAGTGCCCTCTACTAACACTGATATTTGTTGTCATGCCGCCATGGTCAGTTCTTCCATGCAATCTGGTTGCTGTCATATGGTAGTCAATGCACGATCCAGATTCAAGGTGAGGCGCTCATCAGACTGTGCTGTCTCTGACGAACGGCACACGGTGTGAGCTCTAAATATACTTCTTTCAAATTTTCGTTTCGAAAGTTGTGGCATAATGACGCCGAAGCAACCAATTCACCTTGGCGATGTAGATGGCTAATCATGCTGTATTTCAATGCGCTACACTCACTGGTAGGTGAATCAGGTGTGCTGATCTCATGTACTGTATCAAGCCCGTGGCACGTGTAAGTGAAGTGTCAGAGATAATAATAAGGCACAGTGTTGATGCATGATGGTGTTATTTAGGCGTTTGAGTTAGATTCGGCGCTAGGTGCAGCTAAAATGCTCCCCATATGGGGGGCTTGCAGACTACGTAACCAATATTGTGAAACTGAACAACAGAAGATTAGTTCCGCTTGTCCAAAAAGATGACTTCATGAGGGCCTAGCTCTAAAGTTCCACTGTCAGCGGATAACTCTGGGTGGGACACACAAATGGGAGGCTTCATGAAATAGCACGAGGGAATCATCCGCAGGCTAGCTTTTTTTCTCCAATATGAGGATTTAGTGGCATGAATAATGACTTCTTCAGCTCTCTGCCTGTTGTTCACTGCAGTACTGCTTATATTTCAAGCTAAGAAGCATATTAGTTGTAAGTTCGTGCCCCCTACCGTGCAGCTGATGGTATGGCTTGCTGCTAACCACCTGATCAACTCATTTGATGAATGAGTTCCATGAATAGCAACCACTTGGCCGAACTTCGACCAAAATTTACGAATTTCACGCATCTGGCACTGCCGACCCCCAAATATCATGCCAAATTGACAGTGTTGATGCGTTGAAGTGTGAGCTAAATCTGACAAGCGTAGGAATTCACCCCTTTTCCAAGTTTTAGTATCGGCCAGGGAAATGGACGCATACATAAGGTGGAAATACTCTAAACGTGCGACTTCAAAACCGAGTCAGCTGCTGGAGCGCAAGTTACGTGCCAGATATTGAAGCAACAACATGGAAAAGCATCAGGCTCCCCAGTAAAAAGGCAGTTGGGTAAGGCAAAATTTTTGTTGAAAAGAAGGAGAACAGGGGGCCTTCCAGTCCCCTCTCTGCCTTGTGGAGCTCTTCACCAGTTGTTAGTAGAATGTTAGCACGGGATGCACAACAGAAACGTGGACATGCATGCATGTATATACGCCAAGGCCCGTTTGTGCAGGAAAGTTGAACGTTTGACACTTCAGTATCAACACTAATTGCTGTAGGTGATGTCCAGCCTTCAACACTTGCTCTTATTGACCGATTGGGGTAAAGGACTCCTGTTGTGTACTAGAAAGGCTCCGAGGTGGCACACCTTTTCGCTAGCAGCTCCGCCTTCTGCCTCAAAAGGCTCATCAATAAAAACTACTAGAATCAATACATAACTAGGGTCAACTCAGAAGGCACCATAATCTAAGTGAAGCATTATGGCTATTGTATTTAATGGGTTTGGTGAATCAGGCAGACTGCCGTGTAGCGTATCAGTACGCCCTAATGAGGGAGAGCCTTTCTAACTGTGACTGTTGTCTCTTTGGAAGGCGAAGGCTTCAGGCATTTCCAAATTTCCTTTTTCTCAAAACTAGGGGAATTCCCCCCCCCAAGCGTCGTCTAAAAATGGTTCTTGCCGACCCATGCCGCTATACCGGCTTTCCACAGGCGTTACAAGGATAGCGTATAACGTGGAACGGCGCTGGAACCTCTGACCAATGTTCATCTGCACGACGCAACTAGCGAGACCCAACTGCTGCCATCTCTTGACCTGCTTAGGTTCCACTCTAATTACTTAGGAATTCCATTTCTGTCGAGAAAAGTGCCAAGCAATGAGGTGGGTGGCCCGTCAAGCAGCTGCCCGCGTCAAAGCTATGTCACTGAAAGTTTGTTGATTCTCGCAGAGGCTAATTTAGAATCCATGAAAGGTACGAATACTGCACTTTTCGAGGAGAGATTGCATGCTGAGCTAGAGTGCTTACAGCTTTCCATCATGTGAGCCAGCGCGGCGTGACATCTAAATCACCTGTGGGCCTGCAAACCCCAACGCTTCCGATGAGAATCATCTTTCCAAGGATACATGGAACGACGACGCAGGACACTACAGTGAGAGTGTACCGGAGACTAGCGATGCAACGGGGTAAGCCACCAGCAATGTGCCTGGGGCTCTAGTGTGCAGCAATACAATGCTGTGCAGACACATCCTTCAGAGGCTGGATGCTTCGGAACCAGAACAAATAGCATGCAGTTGTAAAGAATCATAAAAGACTTAGTGTTGCAGCATCTCCGGTTCATCGCGCCCTGTAGCTAGGCTCGAGGCTCGGGGTTTGCTGCTGCACTGATGCTGTAGTGAGCGGAACTCTGCTTGGCTCACATGTATCTGTCCTGTTCTGAATACTCAGCTTCAGACCTATCAATTCTCTCAAGTGACACTGTTTAAAAGCCAAAAGAATCCCACCACCATCAAGGTGGGCACACATCCCTGTTCTCGCAATATTTTTCTCTCTGTATGGGAGTGTTGAGCGCTGCAGCTTCGGCGTCTCTTTGCAAGCCTCATGCCCTGGGACTGACTGCGCCGCATACATCATCCCTTTGCCATGGCTACGCGGCCTAGAACGCTCGCTTCCAACCACGCCTAGGCCCGCACGTTTAATCGTTCCGTCTTCTCAGTGCTAGGACGGCTGGGCGCCCTACTGCTCTTGTCCACCGGCTCGGGCCGGCCTCGTTCATACGTAGGACAGTCCCGAGCATAGTGTCCCACACCGCCACACTTCTTGCAGATTTCCCCCAGACGTCTGGTGCGTTCCCCTTTGCTAGGGCAGACACGTGCCGGATGTCCGCGACCCTGACACTCAAAGCAGTTAGTATGGGTTCCCCCAGGAAGATTTTCAATTTCCTGGCGCCCTCGAGGTCCACTAGCTTGGACGGCAGCCCTAATGGCTCTACTGGTTCTTTCTCGGAGTTCCAGCACACTCTGCTTGGGCTCGTAGAGCCGTGTTGAGGCAGTCGCCGCTTGTCCCCACGACTGATATTTCACTTGTACGTTATTGGTTATTAGAAAATGGAGGTCTGTCGGTAGCCCGGTGCAGTAATAGTCCGCGAGTTCGTCGAGGGCAAAACCCAACCCACGCTCCGCTACAGCCGCAAATCGGTCCGTGTATTCCTTCGGGTTACCATTCCACCGTACTTTAGCTAACTCCGTTAACAATTGACTCTGTTACATTGTTCTGTCAAACCGCTCCAAAAGCCCTACGGAGTGTAGGAAGTCATGTGGATAAGCTGAGGTTGTTTACTGACAGGGTGAGAACGGTGCAAGTCGAATGCAGCGCGCGAGGGGGCACTAATCATATTCGCGTACACCTGATGAGAACGACGTACAGAGAGTTCCATGCTCCAAAGAGCGAGAAAAAGAATAGATGAAGGCGGTTTTCGCTTGTTCCAGTTTGCAAGAGTTCTTTTTTTGTGGATAAATTGGGGGACTATGCTCTTGATATGAGCAATTCCACAGGATTCCAGAGAAGGGACCGCGCTCGCTTTCTTGTAAAGACACAAGTAGTTACCGATGGGCTGCCGAAATGTACTTCTTCCTGGCTTTTTCTTACCACACTAATGAAATTGGCTTCGATTTGAGGCTTCAAGCCTTCTACAGACTAGTTTCTTTTTGGTGGCATGATCCATGGTACCATTTATCAACCCTTGAATCTCATTGCGCTACCCTCCTACCCAACAGAAAATCAGGGCGGCGTACGGCACTACACAGCGGAGGCAAAAATTATTTCTCAGAGCAGGAACGAGCTAGGAATGCCGTGCTCCCACAGCACAGCCACTGTAGTGCACAGACACTACAATGGGGCTGGTTAGTGCTCTAGAG